TGCTCCATGCTGGTCCCTTGACTTAGGGTGCTCTTCTCCCTCTTCTCTAGCTGGAAAAAAAAAAAAAACAAACCCCTCCTTATGCTTAAAGGCCCGATTTAAACCCCAGCTCCTCTATGAAGCCTTCCTGAATTCCTCGAAGCAGAGTGCTGCTCCCTTCAAGTGTTTCTGAAGCAGCTTGCACACATCTTCACACTATACCCCTTCTACCCATTGTAGAGTTTGGCCTATGGGAGAGACTTAAGATGGGCATAGGAGGCCTTACTGAGCCCGTTTCAAGAGAGGCCCATTTGGGGATGTGCTTGTGGTGATGAGGGTGAACACATGGCTTCCAGCATTGCTCAGAAAACCACGGACAGAGCTTTGTTCTAGGTCTAAGGGTGACTGAGGAGACTGGAACAGGGCAGGGGCTGCTATTATAGGCAGCAAATTGTGTCCCCTTCAGAGATCCCCTTTGAGAATGAAAGGGAAATCAGCTTGGACCTCCTCTAACTCCAGGTGCTACGGATTGTCTGGATCCTCCTGCCACCATGTACTTCCACCCCCTTGGACCCATTGGGGGTCAAGCCTAAATTTGTCGTGTCCCTTAAACATGAGGAATTAAAGTAGGGGCCAGCCTGGCTCAGGCTCCCACCTCCCCCGACTCTGATCTGGCCCTGACTCAGCTTCTGTTGCATAGGAAGAAGTGCCAGGATGCTTCCAAGATGATCTCACTTTTGCCTGTTGGCACATGTTTCATTCGGGAATAGGATAGCAAAGAGGCTCTGGGGTTGAGGGCAGGGGTCCCCCTGCTAAGACTTGAATGAGACAGTAAGGATTCTCAGATCTGAGAGGCCTAAATTCCAGTGCTTGATTCATTCATGCAAACTCACTCTTCAGAGAGCCTACTCTACCCTAGGGATTGAAGCTAGCATCTCTCTTGTACAAGAACTCTTAACTCAATGTGGGAGGTGCATTCAGGGGCCTGCCCAGCCCCTGTCTGTATGATAGGGATTAGCACCCTTGTTCTGTTTGCAGTACAGGGTTGTGAGGACCTGCTTTGTAGACCCCTGGGTCAAAGTTAGGGATGTGACATATGCCAGGTGCAGTGTCTAGCACACTGTGGATGCTCAACAAATATCCATTGGGAGCATGAGAGTAAATGAATGGTTTCTGCTCTCAGCCTTATTGGGGAAGGGCATGACCATTTACAGAACACCCGCTGTGCTTCACTGATGTCACAGCAGGGCGCACACAACTACAGCTAGGCCTTCCACCACACTGTCTCCCTCTGGGTCTTTGTGTGCCTCTGATGTCTTTTTCTTGCTCTCGTGATCTCTTTTCTCTTTGCCCACTTCACTCTCACTCCGATGCAGGTGTCCACCTCTCCCTCTCTCTCGTATTTAAAAGTGAAACAGCAGGGCCAGGCGTAGTGACTCACACCTGTAATCCCAGCTACTAGGGAGGCTGAGGCAGGAGAATCACTTGAACCTGGGAGGAGGAAGTTGCAGTGAGCCAAGATTGCACCACTGCACTCCAGCCTGGGCAATGGAGTGAGATTCCATCTCAAAAAATAAAAAGTAAAAAGAATAAATAAATAAATAAAAGTGAAACAGCTTTGGGGCTGACTGGAGTTGGATGTAACCTGGAAGTTCTATGATTATCCACCCCTTTCAGGGCTAGGATCCAGGTCAATTCGTTCACCACAGTGTGCCTGACACCTAGCATTAGAGGTCATATTTAGTAGGAACCCCCAAAATTGTTGCATAAACACATTGGTTTATATATGTGGGTGAGGAATATATGCTTGGGAATGCTGAGGGGACCAGGACAGAACCAAAGAACACTGAGCAAGAAGCTACAGTTTTGCTCTAGCTTTGGTCTAAGCTTTAAAAGATGGGTTGAAAAAATTCCTTGAGGCTTTTAGAATGTCCAGCCAAACTTCCTGTGTGAGAAAATGATGGAGATTGTGAGTAGAAGCTTCTCTTGGGAAGGAAGAGGTTGTGTCTAGAAGCACCATCTCTGGGTTTTATCTCTTAGAAACATGAGGACCTGGGAGCAGGGGGCTCTACAGAAGCCTGATGTTTTGGGAGCACGTGATGCAACATTCCTGACCTCAAGCAAGAGTCACCTCATTAAGATCTTAACTGCAATAGAGGTCCCTCCTCCTGTTCTGCTCTGGATGGTCGCATTGACCTGCACAAGTCCCCACTCTTTAGGCCCTATCCCATCTGTTAAATGAAGTGTTCAGGTTAGATGATCCCTAAGGGCTCTGCTGCTCTTGGATTTGTGAAATTAGGTAAGGGATGATCTGGAAATTTAAATAGGATTCCATGTCAGGGGGCTTTACCCTCACAGGACAATGGGAAACTAGGCTCTGATTGATTTCATTGCTTGCAGCACTGAATATGTCTGAGTTGCAGGCTGACTCATATAGGCCCTTCTAGAAGAGCTACTGGCCCAGAGAGGATGCTGCCTTCACTCTGAGGGTGGTCACCAGTACATGTGAAGAAATTCAGGTCTCTGCAGTACAAGTGTCCATAATGGGAGAAAAAACACAAATATTTCACAACTGTAAGAAAAATAGTAGTTGGTTGCCTATTCGTGTTTATATTTCTCCCTTCAAGTGGTCTTCCCACCTCACAACACACATACATGCATATGACCACAACTAATGAGATCAGGCAGTGTATACCTCCTAAACCACACACGTTCACATGTGCTCTTGTGGTCATACAACATATTTACATGTGTTGCCTTTGACATATATAGAGATTCTATGTGTTCCACACACATGCATATCCTGCATATTCAGACATTCCATTTTTGCCCTCATCTACTAGCATGTCCCAATTCCTGGAATGTGGCAAAAGAGAATTAAGGATGCAGATGGAATTAAGGTTGCTAATCAGCTGACTTTATCTGAGTGGGCCTATGTAATCACAAGAGTCCTTAAAAGGTGGAGGAAGGAGGCAAAAGAATCAGCATCCAAAAGAATCAGTGTCCAAATATGATGTGAGAAAGACCAGCCTTGGCTGACTTTGAAGACAAAGGAAGGGGTCATCAACCAAGGAATACAGGCAGACTCTAGTTGAAAAGGCAGGAAAATGGATTCTTCCCTAGAGCCTCCAGAAAGCGGTAAAGCCTCCCACTGCCTTGATTTTAGCCCAGTGAAACCTGTGTCCAGCTTCTTACCTCTAAAACTGTAAGATTATTAATTTGTGTTGTTTTAGACTGTGAAGTTGTGGTAATTTGTTATAGCAGTGATAGGAAATGAACACCCACAGAATCAGACAGAGTCCCACCCTCACGAGTCTATGGTCTGAGAGAGGAGACAGGCACAAAACCAGGTGCTAGTCGACAGAGTAAGAGAGGCTGCAAAAACACAAAGGAGGAATACCCAACCTACACTTGGGCATGGAGGGAAGATTTCCTCTTGGAAACTCCATGAAGGCAAGGACCAGTATTGACCCAGGTCAGCAACACTGGCCACTGTACCTGCACACACCCGATGCCAATAAGTATTTGCTTGGGGAAGGAAGGAGGGAGGGAGAGAGGAAGAAAGGCAAGAGAAAGGCCAAAACTAGGATCCAATAGATAAATAGGATTTGAGATGGTTGAATACAAGGTGGAGTGAAATGTTCCAGGCAGAAGACCCAGGGCTATTTAGAGAACTAAGTAGAGTTTCCTTTGGCTGGGACACAGTGCCCCATGGGGAACAGGGAAAGATGAGTCGACAGAGCACAGATCAGGAGGGGCCTTATCAGCTATAATTAGACATTTGGCCTGTATCCTATGTGCAGTTGGTACATGCTCACTCTTGCTTGCTCTCGCTTGTTCTGTCTGGTTCCGTCTCCCCACCCCCACTCCCTTGGGTGATATTTTAACATCTTTTAAATGAAGTGTGTTTGTTTCATCTCATTTATGCCAAACAATGCTTATGGAACTATTTCCTCTTGTTCCCCAGGCCATACGCATGTCCCTCCCCTTCAGCAATGATTGAGGACCTACCTCCTCGGTTATCATTTTGGGTAAGATGGGCCTGTCCAGTGGACAACAAGCCCTGGATCTGTAACCACAGCCACCTGGGTTTGAGTTCATACTCCTTCATTTCCCAGCTAATGTTTAACCTCTTCCATCCCTGGTTTCCCAGTCTGGAAAATGGATCCAGGACAGTGTCCACTTTAAGGGCTTGTTGTGAGAATCAAAAGAGCTAGTTCATAAAAGTGCTTCGAAAGGGCCAGATGTATCCTGAGTAGTCAATGGCAGTTGTCTACGCCAATCGTCACTCTTTGTATAGTTATTACCTACCAGCCATAACTATTGTTACATGTTACATGAGTTTCCATGGCTCTCCAGATCTCCCCACCCTTCTGTACCCACCTCTGCCCCCTTGGAGGTTGATCTGCATGAGCTCCATCAATGATCTCCCTTGCCTTCTAACTTCCAATTGGGCCCAGACTTTGCGAGTTACCAGCAAGAGATGCAGGGAGTGGCAGGAGAGTGAGGATGGGGGATTTATTCTCCCTGCTCCCTCCTTTCAGGATTTTGCTAGGGCTTGGCTGCTTTCTTCTCATGAAGGCAGCATCTTCTTGGGCAGCCCTGTCCCTACAACTCCCCGCTTTTTGTTCCAGGAACTGCTCCCTCTTCTTGCCTTTTAAGAGATAGGGAAGGTGATGACTCCCTGCTGTTATAAGCCCCAGAGTTTCCTTTGCATCTAAGTAAATAGTCTTTTCCTTAATTTCCCTCCAAGTTATACAGTTTGAGTGTACCATCCATTTTTTGCTAGAACACTGACTGAGACAACTTTTTTTTTTTCAAATACTGGGACTGCTGGCTTCATAGACCGAGGCTTCATCCTGATAAGGAAGCCCTTGTCCCTTGTCCCTCTGGTCAGCTCTAGAACATTCAGCAAGGTGATCACATGGTCACAAGATCACTTCTTTTTCATTCTTCATGAAACTGAAAATTTCAAGGAAATTTGTAAGTTTAATAGACAACCTGATCATACTCCAGACTAGAAAATGAAACCAAAACCAATTGCCCTAGGCAGAAAGTTAGGTTATAATGGGTTTCCTGCAGCCAAAGAGTCATGAGTCACAGCAGCTGCCTCAAGACTGGGAGGGGAAGTAAACCACTGGATCTAAGGATCACTCTAGTCACCCTACAGTGACTCCTCTTTTTCCCCTCCTGCCATGGTCCAGGGTAGCCAGATACTTCTCCAGGCTGTCACTTACGTGGGCTTTCCTGCTGGCTACATCACTGAAATGGAATCTCCTAGTGGCCCTTCTCCCTCTACAGCTCTGGTGTTACACTGAAAAACTAGAAGGTCAATCACTTTTATATTTACCCCCATTAAGGTTGCAGGAGCCTAGCATGTCCCCACAGCCTTCCTTCTCCATTCTCCTCTTCCCCTTGTCTTGTGCGTGGTTTCTTTCTTGTCCGAACTGGGTCTTCCTTTTCTAGACTGTGAGCTTGCTGAGGTCAGGGAATGAGTCTTTGTATCCTTGGTACCCAGTTCAGAGCCTGCCTTTGGGGAGTGTTTACTCTAACACTGTGGTTAGGCAGAGATGTGAGTTTGAGTCTTGGTTTCCTTAGTCTTTTATCAATCACTTCTCAAATTATGCCATTTGTATCTTTTTTCTCTCTCTCTCTTTAGAGACAGGGTCTCACTCTGTCACCCAGGTTGGAATGCAGTGGTGCAATCAGCTCACTGCAGGCCCGAACTCCTGGGCTCAAGCCATCCTCCTGCCTCAGCCTCCCAAATAGCGAAGACTACAGGTGGCACATCTCTGAATCTGGATAATTTTTTTTTTAAATTTCTGAAGAAACAGGGTTTCACTATGTTGCCCAGTCTGGTCTCAAACTCCTGACCTCGAGTAATCCTCCTATCTCAGCCTTCCAAAGTGCTGGGATTGTAGGTATAAGCCACTACATTCAGCTACTGCTTGTATCTTCTGATTCTTGTTTTGATACCACTGACCTTAGGTAGGGTATTTTATCTTCCTGAATTTTATTTTTCTATGTGTAAAATGGAGATTAAATTATCCTTCTAATAGGGTTGTTGTGGGGATTAAGTGAAATAGTGTATACAAAGTTCTTAGCATACTTTGAAGCTATTATTTTTATTGTTATGCTAGTAAATAAAATTTTCTGGAATTAGAGACTCACATGCCTGCTTGTCTACAGTTTCAAAATAGACAAGGGAATAAGAGAAACATCAGAAAGTCTGATCAAAGTAGAAGCATCATGTTTCTATCAACGTATCCACTGTGCTTGGTAAGTGGCAGTCTCTTGTCCTGCAAGAGACTTGGGCTTTGAAAAGGGCTTTGGATCTCAGATCTGTTGACGTGAGGCTTGTCGTGAACCTCAGCTTCCTCATCTCCAAAACTGCTATAGGCCAGGCATGGTGGCTCATGCCTGTAATCCCAGTACTTTGGGAGACTGAAGCAGTTGGATTGCTTGAACTCAGAAGTTTGAGACCAGCCTGGGCAACATGGTAAAACCCCATCCTACCAAAACTACAAAAAAATTAGCCGAGTATGCCTGTGGACACAGCTAACTGGGAGGCAGAGGTGAGAGGATTGCTTAAGCTCGGGAGGTGGAGGCTGCAGTGAGACAAGTTCATGCTACTACACTCCAGTGTGGGTGACAGAGTGATACCCAATCTCAAAAAAACAAAACAAAACAAAACAAAACAAAAAAACATTGGTATAGTAACAGCCTCTGCTTGAGGTTACTCTTTCACTGGATGATAAATGAGCACCTACTGTGTGTCAGACATTACTCTAAGCTGTAGATACAGCCTCAAAAAAGATAAGCTAACCCTGCCACCATGGGGCTTGTATTTTAGTTGGGAAAGGGTCTGGAGAAGACAGACAATAAACAAATCAATAAATTCATTAAAAAGCTAACTTCAGCATTGATAGGTGTTATGGGGAGAATGAAAGAGGACCCTGGGATACAGAATAACTTTGTGTGGGAATCAGGTTGGGATCCCTGGGTCAGGTGGTCAGGGTGGGACTCTCAGAGAAGATGACTTTTGAATTTAAATAAGAATGAAAAGAAAAAGCCAACCATAGGCAGATTTGGGGACAGCCAGTGCAAAGGTCAAAGGTGAATAAGGTCATAGGGTAACCAGGGTTAAAATAAGGTGGTGAGGCCTAACTGGCCAGAACAATGCCTGACAAAGGTGCTGCTTTCCTCAATATCTTCAAATCCTTAAGGATCTACTGTGTGCTGATGTAAGATGCAAAAATCAGTAAATCATGCTACTATCTCTAAGAAACTCATGGTCTAATATAGGAGAAAAAAATCCACCATCAAAATAAATGAATCAAGACTGGGAAGATGAATATAACTGATAGCACCTGGGAGATGACGTAGACATGGATATGGATATGGATATGGATATGGATATGGATATGGATAGATATGGATGCAGATACACATGTGGATAAAGGTGGGGATGTGTGTTGGGAAAGGCAGTCTCTTGCATGCCATCTTTCCACCCCTGCTTGGCCACCTAAGAATACGCGTTGGGCCTGGAAGACTTCCTTACCATGAAATAAAGAATCCTCAGCCTGTGCTGGACTTACCAACTTTTGTGGGAATATCTTTTTCTGTTTGTACTCTTTTGCTTTGCTTAAGGGCATGCATCACATGGCACTTAGAAACTTCACTTCTCTATCTGTTCTTTGCAGGCAGGGCATGGGCCCTTCTGCTGCAGCATAAGAGGGGTCACCCAATGACCCGTGTCAGCTGTTGGGATGGACCTGCTGACCATGGGATAATGATACCCACTACTAAAGCAGATCTTGCTGTGTCTCTTCTCTATGTGAGTAAAGTCCCGTTCCATCTAGTGCTTGACTGTGTTGTGTTTTCCGTGGCAATTTCAATACCAACATGCAATGGGCACAAGTTCTTAGGCTTCTACTCTGGTTAATAGGAAACAGATGCCACTTGCTTGCCAGTTGGATATGGATATTGGATGTGGATAGACGTAGATATCAATGAAAAGAACAAATGAATAAGTGATTGAATGAGTGAACACATATAAGGAGGGAGAGGGTCCTGGGTCAGGGTGGATGAGAAGAGGGCTGAAGGAGGCAGAGGTAGGCAAAGGTGGTGATGTAGAAGAGGTGTTTACCACTGGGGAAATTCCATTTGGGCTGGAGCAGAGGATCCTTGTATGGAAATCATGTCTGGAAACTAGCAGAAGACAAGGAGGATTTTGGATTTGCTTTGTGGCCTATCATGCTATTTATACTTATATGATTTAGAGACATTTCTATAACATACCAGACCTGACAAAGCTGCTACAACACACAACACACTAGAGTTCATATGAGTACATATTGTTTCTCCAGTTTTCCCTGGTAAAGGTGCAGTGCAGAAAATGGTTTTCCACCCTTTCTCCATGGCCACTTTGAGGTCAGAGATTGTGTCTTAAATTCAACAAGAATAGAACTTGGATAGTAGAATCTTGTTTTGTTTTGTTTTTGTAAAAAACATAAAAAGGCTCATGTTAGGCTTTAATAAAGGAAGGGGCCTGGAGGCATCACTGGTGATGGTAAAAAAAAAAAAAAAAAGCCGTAATTTTCTATATTTATAAGATTTTAAAATGTTAAAATATGAAATGTAAATCAGGATGTTCAGAAAAAATTATAAGAACCCTCATGATGTTTATCAATGAATGATCCATTTGATTCTGTGCAGCCTCATGACCAAAACCAATCACAGGGTTAGTCAGATCACTGATCTCCTCTACACATATGATCTTCTTGTGGGACTCTGTTTGGCAACGGAAGCTTTGGGGAAAGCTCATATAAACCACTGAGTATAGAGAATGATTTAGACCTGAACACTTTTTAAAGTAGGGGTTGTCTGTCCACTAGTAAATATTTTAGTAAAGTGCCATGGAACATGCAGGTTTGTTTGTTTGTTTGTTTGTTTTTTGAGATGGAGTCTCGCTCTGTCACCCAGGCTGGAGTGCAGTGGCGCAATCTCGGCTCACTGTAACCTCTGCCTCCTGGTTTCATGCCATTCTCCTGCCTCAGCCTCCCGAGTAGCTGGGACTACAGGAGTCCACCACCATGCCCAGCTAATTTTTTGTATTTTTAGCAGAGACAGGGTTTCACCGTGTTAGACAGGGTGGTCTCGATCTCTTGACCTTGTGATCTGCCCGCCTCGACCTCCCAAAGTGCTGGGATGACAGGCGTGAGCCACCGTGCCTAGCTAGTTTTTTTTTTTTTTTTTTTAAGGTGGACAACAAATTTTATATTGTGCATGCAAATACATGTCAAATACTGCAAACTTTTTGCATCAATTTTCTCTCAAACACTGAAAATCATGATGCTTTATTTTGTGAACAGCCAAAGCTAATATCTCTTCACTTCAGTGCCACAGCAAAAACCTAGATAATTCACTCTTTGCTATTCGCTATCATCACAACCCTCATTCTTCCATCTCTGCCTTCCCCCCATATACAACCCTTATAAATTCTAGTCTTTCCCCATTTAATCCTATTCCTATAGCACAAAGGGAAACATTATAATTTGGACATTCAAATTGAAATAAATGGAATAGAATTTATTCCCATATATATTCCCCATTTCATTATACAGAATTATTTTAAATTATAGTTAAAACTATAACTATAAACATACAGTTTTGAGCAATATAACTTGCCAATAAATCTTCCAGGTTAAATTAGTTGCCAATTATGTTATTAAAGTTACCAGGAAAAAAAACTTGAGCTATTGTAAGTGTTATGGGCTATGAGACAAATACAGTATTTGTAGTTACCAGCTCAAAATAAAGTTTCAGAAGTGTTGATATTAAGCCACACTTGCTTCCAATAATTTGAAGGAAGATCACTTATCCATTGAAGTAATAAGTTTAGTCAGACAGAATGCTCTTTTTTTTAATCATCTCTGTGGGAATGTGGGGTGGGACACCTTTGTGACTTATTATGCAACCATGATAGGTAGGAACCAGTGGTGGCATTTGTAGTCTCAGGGTCTACATGAAGACAGCCTAAAAAAATGACAGTTGTTGGTGATGCCAAGAGAAGGTTGCAGCTCTTCAAAAAAAAACAAGAATAGGTCTGGGCATGGTGGCTCATGCCTGTTATCCCAACACTTTGGGAGGTTGAGGAAGGAGGATTGCTTGAGCCCAAAGTTCAAGACCAGCCTGGGCAACATAGCAAGACTTTGTCTGTACAAAAAAAAAAAAAAAAAAAATTGCCTGGCATGGTGGTGTACGCCTGTGGTCCCAGCTACTCAGAAGGCTGAGGTGTGAGGATCTCTTGAGCCTGGGAGGTCAAGGCCGCAGTGAGGCATGATCGCATCACTACACTCCAGCCTAGGTAACAAGGAAAGACATCCTCCAAAGAAAACATAATCAGGAAGAGAGTTTATTTTGCTTTCCCCTGGTGTAGTCCAATTGATTTGTGTTTGAGGCATGTGAAAGCTAAATGCTTGGCCCTGCATGGGTCATGAGTCATCCCTATATCCTACAGTTTAACAAAAGACAGCCCTGCCTCTTCCCTTCCCCTCCCCAAGCCCACCACTGAAATCATTGTAGAGGTAGTGGTCTTCTAGTATGTGACCCTTAGGCTGCAATATCCACAGGTTCTAGGCCATATTTCCTTCACATCCATGTAATGAGCCTCAAAACCCAAATGTCCTATTTTCCTTGAGGACATCTAGACCCAAAGCATCCCCATTTTGGAAGCCCAGGACTGTGGAATGGGAAAATATGACTCCATTCCCCCCCTCATATGTGTTTTTAGGTTAAAAAAGGCAGGTGCAAATCACAACTGAATCTGAAACCTCAAAAGAGGCCAAAGCAAATCAACTTAACAAAAATAACTTATCATCACCAAACCTGAAGAAAAACTTCAGCTGTGGCATCTCCAAGCAATGACCATGTCCCTGGCTGACATAAAAGCCCCTTCAGGACTTCATGTTGATTGAATCCATCCCCATGATCTAGCCTCAAGTGAGGGCTGAGTGGGCTGTTCTTGAGCCAAGTGTCTGTGGTTGTGGATAAATATATTAATATCCTAGCAACTTGCAAAATCCACAGTACCTTAGACAGAATTTGTCTTGCATTCTCTTAACAGGAGAGCAGGTTTGAGATGGGGACCTGAGGATATTCTGAGCCAAGCAAAGAGGTTCTTGGTAAACACACTTCATTTCCTGCTGGTCATGCTTGGCTGCCCCTTGCAAATTGGAGTCATTTTCTCATGTGACCTTCTAGTGTTCTGAAATTTG